CAGTTCAGAATCCGGTTGCAGTAACTCCCGTCAACCCGGACCTGACCCTCGTCGCCCAGCTGTCTGGAGGCCGCCCCACCTCGCAAACATGCCCTTTGCACAGGGGGTGAGCTGGTGCCAGCTCTGGGGTGGCTGGTGACACACAGAGGGGCAGGGCCTGTACTGTGGAAGCCAAGGCTCGTCTCAGAGAGTCTAAACAGCCCAGAAAGGAGGGATGCTGCAGATGGTTCTTCTGCCGCCTCTCAAAACACTGGCCGGGGATAAGAAATCACTTTTTAGCAGTCTCTCTCACTTATCTTTTCATGGTCTTCGAACAGGTCTACTGAGCAGGGGAGTGGCACCAGTGACTGTAAAAGTGCTGAGTCACCGAAGCCAGCATGCCCTGTACAGTGTGTGGGGCTGAGAGGTGTCTGCGAGCGGGTGTGAGCCACGGTGGTGAGAAAAGCACCTTCTCTGGTTCCAGATCTTTGATTCAATGGTACCAATCAGTTAAAGATGACTGAACGTAGTCAGTACCATGGCATGCTTGGTTTTCATGCTCTTTGCCTTTTTTTCCCTTTTTAAAATCAATTTAGACATTGCTAAAATGCATCATGGTGCCTCTTAGCAAACCAGTCAAAAAGATGTCCCTGGAAATATTTCCCCTTGTCTGCTGCCCTCTGGAGGCCAGGGTGGGTCCACCTCAAACAAGGAAGCGTCTCCGTAGCCACAGTCCCTCAGCAGATTCCTGATTTCTAAGCACAAGGCCCCATCTTCTCCGCAGCATTTCAAACCTTCTGAAGTTACTTAAGCGTCCTCTGTGGAGTTCTTTATTCCTGGGAAAAGCAAGCATGTGGTCACCTGGGGGCACTGGACAAAACCTGTGGCAGTGAGCATGGCCCTGGGGCCCCAATCATCCAGGACATACTTCAAAGAGCCCCACTGTTGGGCAGATTGCTCCCTGAGGAGTAGGGAAAAGCTGCCCATCAACACCAGTCCAGGCAAAAGCTGTAAGGCCACACATTACACCACCAACGCTGCTCCCTGCAGTCTCTGGTTCTAAGATATTTGCCAAATTGTCTTGTATCATAGAAATGCACACTTCACACCTCTATGATCCTACTCACCAATTTCACCCCAATAAATTTAACTAAAAAAATTAAAACATCTCCTTTTTGCACTTTAAATTTTGATAAGAAGTTGGAAGACTTGGTAAAGAGCTATCTGGTTTCTCTAACAGGACAAATAGCCATCTCCCTGCAGGCCTTTTTCTGGAAGCTTGAAATTTCTGTTTCCCTCCAACTACTCTTGGGCAGTAAAGAAAATGTCTTTGAACGTTTCTAAAGCCAGGGCTGTCTGTTACAGAGTTCAACAACAAAACAGAAAACAAAGCAGGCTGTCCAAATACACATCTGCAGGCAAACAAACCCCACCCTTTTCAAACACAAATCTCTCTAAAAAGGCCCAGGGCTGACCTGAAGACAGAAAGTGGGGCCTCAAGGCTACTTAACCACTTCACCTAAAAGGCTCTGAGTTAGGGACCCACCCCGTCCATCTGGTCAGAAAGGAGCCAGGAGGCAGGAGGTGTTCGTTTGCTCCCCCAGGGCATCTGTGCACAAGATGAGACCAGCTCTGCCCCATCAGCACCCAGTGGGCCCCACAGGTATCCTTTTTCACCCATGAGTAATGTGAAGAGAGCTGGGGAATATCTGAGATTTTTGCCTTAAAATTAAACAATGTTTATCCCTACGTAACCCAAAGGACAAGTTGCCACTCTCATAACAATATTAAAATCAGTAACATATATTCTATCCAAAAGCCAGACAGCCAGAGAGACCTACATCTTGGCATCCCGGCCATTGCAGTGACTTGAAGGGCAGGAAGATGAGTCAGCACCGCAGACAGGAGCAATTTTCATGAATTATACACTGGGAAACGGAGCCCAAGTCACCCACGTGTAACTGCCTGCTCCTCAAGGACGCGCGGTGGGTCGAGGGCACATTCTGTGAGTCCTTCTCCAGCTCCTACCCTCCATTTCGAAAAGCAAACATTTTTACTCCATGGGGGTAATAAACTTATGAATATGTTATTTAATTCTGGATGGCATATTTTCATTTTAGTTGATAATATCTCTACTAATAGGACAGAAACCTCCAAATAAAATATATGTGTTCTTTTTCACTTAGAAAGCATATCTGGGTTCACCTCAGATTTTCTGAATTTTTCATGAAATCATAACACGTATCTGTGTGAATTCCAACACAAATGTGCTGATAAACTAGAGAATTACACTTCCCTTCCTGCTTCCACAGCGTCCAGAAGTTATGGAATTAGTCTCAGACAAGTAACCGCGAAGACAGGTCAGCTCCCAGAGGACCCTCACCTACGAAGAGGACGGGGCCTGCTCTGTGCTCTGGGCCGGGCTCTCCACGGCCTCTTCTTCAAGGGAGAGAGAGTCTGTCAGTCAAGGGGCTGTGATCAGAGGCAGATGCTGCCTCAGTCCCAGGGAGCTGGACAAGGCCCTGGAGACTCATTTCCTCCTCCCGACCCTCCAACTAACCAGATGCTAGGTCTCCTGGGGTCGAAGTTTCCAGGAACTTGAGCTCTGTTTTGGGTCTAGGGCAGTAAATTTGTGAAGCAAGTATCTACCTATAGTGTTGGTGGCTGCTGGGGCATAGAGAAAACTGGGCAGGCTCTTTGTGACTCTGTCTCCCTTCTCTGAGCAGCAACATGAAACAGCTCAGAAGGCAGGTGGCACTGCCCCCCTGGATCACACAGGATTAAGAGAGAGGGAGGAAGAGGGTGACTACATGAACCTCTGCTCTCTTGCATAGACTTTCCCTCAGCAGTTTCCTAAATTTGTTCTTCTCCCTCGACCTCAACTACTCCATGTCAGAGGGGAAAGTTCTCCCAGACTGACCAAAATTCTTGCATTCCCCTAGGCTCAAACCTAAATGACTTTGGAAAGGTTACTTCATGGACTGCATCCTAAATTCTCTTTAGGATACTGCTTTGGAGCCCTGGGGACAGGGTGGGTCTGGGTCCGGAGGGTTCTGAGGTGAGTCTTTTATGTTCCTGTGGTCGGGTCTTACTTCGGTTTGTTTGTGCACCACTTGTTACTCAGCACTGTTAACCTCCAATTCCACCTGCCGTCTGTGCACAAAGCAGAGGGGCTCTGGAATCCCGGAGGGAACCTATTTTTAAGCTTACATTTTACATACTCCAATTGACAGTGTTTTTTGTTTTCCTTTTCTGAGCTCCAATGAAGAAACACGATACACAGATAATTGACTATACAGAATCACAAAGTGAAGAGTTGGAGACACCTGCCTTCATTTTACGGACAGTGGGCGCCCTAAGTGCAGAGTGTTGACTAACAGAAGACGGGCCTCCCAAGTCCCAGTTAGTGCTCTGTGCTCTAGACCAAGTCCCTCTGCGACCAAAGTGAGCCCCTAAAATTCCCATCCTCCACACCAAGACACTCATGGTGCCTGCATCTCAGCTCATTTCCAAATTCATCTCAGTCCAAAAAGACAATGTGAAAATATAAGTAAATGTCCTTTGTTTTTTAACGTTGACTCCCTATTTACATTCTTCTGGGGCCTATGTTAGTGGAAAATAATCTTCCATAAGCTATAAGGAAGAACTTAAGATCCCCCCAAGTCCAAAACAAACAATGAACTCATCTCTCCTGGTTAACTTTCCCATCTGTACTAAGGCCATTGCCACTCAGAGAACTTACCAGGTGTCTTTTCAGTCCTCACACACAGGTGAGCCGTGGACACACAAGTCTGCAGCAGCTCCCCCAGCACCCTAAACACTGACACTGTGCCTTCAATTAGTTTACGGTCGAGGGCAGACAAAATACTTTCATCACATGATTTTTAAAAAAAATAAAATTACAGCAAGTTGTCATGGAAGGGTAAGAAAAGATACTGCAATATTTAAATTATTGGTTCTCCTAAGAGAACTGTGAAAAGGTATGGCCTCCTCTCCCTTCACTGTCCCTGGAAATGCCCTCCCCACATGTGCCTGGAAGGAGAGATGCAGGTGACAGTGAGGACCAATGTTCCTTAGCTCCTCAGTGGAAAAGAAGAGATCCACCTTGTGCTACTGGTGTCCAAGGGCAAGAAGGGTATCTCTTGTGTGGTCATCAGAGGCAAATAAGCTATAGACTCACAGCCACGCGGGCTCAGAGACGCTACAGACAATCCGGTCCAGGGCCCAGTTCAACTCCCGAAGCCCCTCCCTCTGTACTATGCTGCTCCAGTGACGCTCCTTAGACAGCTCTCAAAACTGTAAAATATATTTAGCCAAACAGAGATTTTCCAGCTAAATAAATGCCAAACTGCTGACAACACCGTGCAGAGAGGCTGGGAAAGGCCTCCAGGACGTGCGCATGGCCCACCCTCCCGGGACAGTCAGCTGGGACCAGACCTCAGGGCGCCCACGGGTCAAGTCACACAGACACTAGGGCTCTCGGGCTATTTTCAGTGCAAAAAATAGTAGCAGCAGGGGTGTAAAAACGCTTTCTGACAGCATATTATAATTCCAGTTTTGCCTGTTTTCACAGTAATAAGCCATCTGGGATGGTGTTAACATCAGAATCGCGTTTCCAAGCAGCCAGAAGCGGCACATCCGAAAGAAAGGGCGCTGGGCCCGCGGAACCTAAACTGTCGCGCGCGAGACTCCGCGTCTCCATCTCTGGGGCCCGCGCTGCCGTTAGGGCCCT